CTTTACGTGCAGAGCTGGCCAAACTTAGAATGCAGGTAGAAAATGTTGGGTTTCCTGGGATCTCATGAGCGAATCTAATTCCTAAGAGATCGATTCTAGAGTTTGCGCAGCGGAAGTACAACAAAAATTTTATAGAACCCTAGAACCATGCTGCTATTGAATCGTAGAAACGTTAGAACTCTTACCTCAATCGATCCGGGGCCTGTATCAATCGAAGAACACGTCTGATCACGAAAGGCAGGAAGAATACCTCGCCCTCTACACGTATCCACACCACGGGATGGATTCCAACGATTGGAACTTGTCTGCTAGGACCCGAATCTACTATTCGATTTATGCTTCGAGAAAAACGGACTTCGATCACACTCTCAACCTCTTGGATCTCACCAAAAGTCTGCTAGAAGTGTTCTAAAATCGACCCCATTTAATTAGGGTTTAATCTCCTTCTTATAAAGTGATTTAACCCTAATTGAGCGGAACGTCCGTTCCACGTGCTGGAACGGACGGTCCGCGTGTATCTCTGGACCGTCCGTTCCGGGCTTCAGTTTTTCCGAAATTAAACCGAATTAGGGTTAAATCACTTTATAAGAAAGAGATTAGAACCCTAATTAGGGAGAGACTTGAGAGAGCCGACTTTCAGAGAATTCTAAAAGCTTTTGGTGAGATCCAAAGAGTTCAAGGAATTCAAAGTCTCGTTTTATCAAAGTGCACAAACCGAATAGAGATTCGAGTCCTAGCAGACAAGTTCCAATCGTTGGAATCCATCCCGAGGTGTGGATACGTGTAGAGGGCGAGGTAAACTTCCTCCCTAAGTGATCGGACAAATTCTTCAGTTGATACAGGCCCCGGATCGATTGAGGTAAGCGTTCTAACGTTTCTACGATTCATAGCAGCATGGTTCTAGGGTTTCATGAAATTTTTGTTTTATATCCGCTGCGCAAACCCTAGAATCGATCTCTTAGGAATAGGATTCGCTCATGAGATCCCAGGAAACCCAACACGAAAGGGCTAGACCCGACGGTCCGCCAAGTCCAGACCCGACGGTCCACAAAAGGCAGACCGTCCGTTCTGGCTTTCTGGAACGGACGGTCTCCGTGCATTTCTGGATCGTCCGTTCCGACTTTCGGGTTTTCGAAAATTAGACCGAAATTAGGGTTAAATCACCTTATAAGAAGGAGATTAAAACCCTAATTAAGTGAGAGACTTTTAGAGCCGTCTTTGGCAGAACTTTGAGAGCTTTTGGGGAGATCCAAAGAGTTCAAGGAGTTCTAAGTCTCGTTTTCTCGAAGCGATATACCGAATAGCAGATTCGGGTCCTAGCAGACAAGTTCCAATCGTTGGAATCCATCCCGGGATGTGGATACGTGTAGAGGGCGAGGTAATCTTCCTCCCTTTAGTGATCGGACGAACGGATCAATTGAAACAGGTCCCGGATCGATTGAGGTAAGCGTTCTAACGTTTCTACGTAAGCATGCATGCATGGTTGTAGGGTTTCTTCAAAATTTTGTTTTATATCCGCTGCGGAAACCCTAGAATCGATCTCTTAGGAATAGGATTCGCTCATGAGATTCCAGGAAAACCCAACAGATCTCGTCCAGAATGTCGTCTTCTGTATGTCATCTTCCTTGACCCGAATCTGATAATATATGGATCGTAGATCGATCTTCGAAAACCACTGAGCTCTCTGTAGCTGGTCCAGCAACTCATCAATCCTCGGTAGCGGGTACCGATTCTTGATAGTCACTTGGTTAAGCCCTCGGTAATTGATGCACAATCGCATACTCCCGTCCTTCTTCTTCATGAAGAGTACCGGTGCTTCCCACAGTGAAACGCTAGGGCGAATGAAACCCTGCTCCACCAACTCGTTCAGCTGCTTCTTCAGTTCAGCCATCTCCGTAGGTGCCATCCGGTACGGAGCCTTGGAAATTGGCTCGGTACCTGATAACACGTCTATGCTGAAATCAACCTCCCAACTGGGCGGTAACCCCGGCAGATCATCAGGAAACACATCTGAAAACTCTTGGGCAATATGTGTGTGACACCCGTAACCGTATACAGCATACAGGTTGTGCCACATGGACAAAATCGAGAAGATAACTCGATAAAACGGAAGCAAAAATGCGAAATTCAAAAACACTTTTTGAAAAAGAGTAGACAGCGGAAATACATTACGCGATACATGCCGCAAAACACACATGTCCAAATGTTAGTTATTACAACCGTAGAAAATATGGGAAATACAAGTCTCGTAGTTCAATTACAAAACCCTACATGATGTTGCTTCTCTCAGGTCGTCACCGCCCTGCTACGCTACTCGTACTCCTCGGGATCTGAAAAAAAACCCACGAGGGCTAAGCACAACTGCTTAGTGAGTAGCCCGGGTTGATCCCAGTCATCCCGTTCCTAGCGAGAACGGTGATAAAACAATGACATACAAGAAATATACAAGTAATGATAACACGTAATTATATCACATCAATCATAATCACATTCGTATGGAGTCCACCATAGGGTTTAGCCATAAACCCTAGTCAAGTCAGCATGACTATGAGCGCCTCAACGCCCGTCAAGTCTATGACGTTGGCCGTCATGTCGCACACGACTTCATTACCATCATTCCCGTATGGAGTCCACCATATGGCTTAGCCCTCATCTCTAGTCAAGTCAGCATGACTAGGAGCGTCTCACACGCCCGTCACCCGCGTGACGTTGGCCGTCGCGTCGCACACGACTTTAACATAATAAATACCGTATGGAATCCACCATAGGATACAGCCCGTATGGAATCCACCATAGGGTTTAGCTCGTATGGAATCCACCATAAGGTTTAGCTCGTATGGAATCCACCATAAGGTTTAGCCCTCAACCCTAGTCAAGTCCCATGGCTAGGAGCGTCTCCTACGCCCGTCACCCGTGTGACGTTGGCCGTCGCGTCGCACACGACTATAACATAATATGTATGCTTAACTCGCGTCGCACGAGTAAGCCAGAACCATGGCACACCCATGTGCATACAATCCCATAGTACAATCTCGTGTCTCACGGTGTTTGGTCCCAACCGACACACCGTTTTAATGCCATGCATTTCTACCCCCAAACAATCATGCACGAGACACTCTCGTATTTCGCACCCTCACCATCTCGATCCTTTTTCGTTTTCCTTAATTCATTTTGCATGTTTGGTCCGCCCATGACCAAAGTTTGGTCGGATCCGGGCCGACCTCTTTGGTCTCTTCCTCTTTTCCGGTCAAAACGGGTCAATTTTCTCTTTTTCTTCAAGCCTAGTTCGGCGGACCAGCGGTTGGTCAGCCTCGGGCCAGCTCTTCTTTCTCCTTGGTTCGCCCCTTGGTCCGTCGGGTCATCCTTTCTCTGAGTATGGCTGGTCCGGCGGACCGACCGTTGGTCAGCCCCGGACCAGAGCCCCTCTTCTTCTGGTTTGCTCACTCTCCTCGGTCCGTCGGTCTGCTGAGAAACGGGTCTAGTCCGATGGACCAAGTTTGGTCAGCCCCGGACCAGCCTTCTCTTTCTCTCTTGGTCCGGCTCCCTCTTCGTTGGTCAATCGGACCATTTTTGGTCAAAAACAGGCTTGGTCCGCCGGACCAGATTCTGGTCCGGGTCGGACCAAGCTTCCTCAGCTTCTTCCCTTCGGTCTGGCAGACTAAAACAATTTTCTGGACTTGGTCCGTAGCTGACCAGTTCCTGGTCCGGCGGACCGAAACTGGGCACATCACTCGTTTGCGTTTTTCAGGTTTTTGGTCTTATCCAAATCGCGTACCGTTTGTTTCTAAATGTTCATTGGGATGTTCTCTTTAATATCCAAGCAATATATTATTTTAAAATTTCGCCTATACGTTGAAAAATGGTTCGTAACCTCTGTACGTCGCAAAATCGCGACTCTACAAATTTCAAGTTTTTTCTCAGTTTTCATTCGCTCATATCTCCTTCGTTTCTCAACCAAATTGAGTACCGTTTGTTTCTAAATCCACATTAAAATTCCTCTTTCAAACTCAAGCAACCAATCATTGAAATGTCACGATCACACGATGAAAACGATAGTACACAGAAGCAACTCAAGCGAGTCATCTTGCTCTTGAGCTTTGGTGAGCTTTGTCCGAGTTTTGGTGAGTTCCCTGTGGCTCCACACGACGTGAGATACTCCAAGTCACATCTGGGCACGTCCCTTTTGGTCTCCCCGAGCTCATTTCTCTCCCTTTTCCCTCTTTTCTCTCCCTTTCTCTCCCTTTCTCCTTTCTCCTATGTTCTGTCCGAAAATGGCTATGTGTGGAGGTTCAGGGAGGTTTTTGTGGGCGACGGGGAAGCTTTAGAGCAAGGAGACAGCTGTAGGGGATAGGTGGCACTCCTAGGAACGGCGGCTCGTCAAGTTTTCCATGCGTGGGCTCATTTATTTCCGAACAAATCGGGTCCAAGTTGCTGCTGACACATGTGGGGACGGTTGTTTTCTCCGGTACGCCGGACCAAGATTCTGGTCCGCCGGACCGGGACTGCCCAACTCACTTTCCGCGTCCTTTTAGTCAGTCCGTCCCCGTTTTGATCCGCCTGAGTGGTCCTGGTCAGCCCCTGACCAATCGTGGTCCGGCTGACCAGGTCCCTTCCCTCTTTCTTCCACTTGGTCTGTCCACCCAAGCGCAGTTTGGCTGACTAAGTTGGTCCGGCGCTGACCAATTGCTGGGTCAGCCGGACCGACTTAGTTTTTTTTTTTCATGCGAAAATCCTCGTGCCTTCTCCCGATAAGGAGCTATCCCTTTTTGGAAAATTTCACAATCCATCTATTTAATTATTCCTCCAAAATAATTAAATATCGATAATGGGTTTCAGGGTATTACAAATCCTCCCCCTTAAAAGAATTTGTCCCCGAATTCAAGCTACGTGACATACTTAAGACTCTTCGTATTCGATGTCCTTTTTAAACATGATCACCTCACCATAATATCGGAATCTGATACAACCCAAAGTACCATACGCGGTAGTCCGTACAAAGCTCAATTAAACAGGTGAGGATAATTACTACGCATCTCCGCCTCAGGTTCCCAGGTCATGTCTGCGATCCCTTGGCTTCGCCACAAGACTTTCACGAGTGGCACTTCCTTCGTCCTCAGCTTCTTGATCTTCCGGTCCATTATCTGCAGTGGTTCGTCTCGAAAATGCGTAGCCTCAGTGAACTTTAGCTCTTGGGGTTGTAGCACGTGAGAAGGATCCGCTATATACCGCCGCAACATTGACACGTGAAACACATCGTGGATGTTACCCAGCTCCTGCGGTAATCCAAGACGATATGCCACGGCTCCTACTCTCGAGATCACAGGATAAGGTCCGATGTATCGCGGTTTCAGCTTCCCGCTCTGTCCGAACCTCGCATATCCCCGCATCGCTTGAACTCGGAGAAAAGCATAGTCTCCGACTTCTAGTGCGAAGTCTCGCCTATGCTGATCGGCATACGACTTCTGCCGGTCCTGCGCTGTCTTTAGATGGGCACGAATCCTCCTTATCACCTCCTGGTGTCTTCTACGATTTCTGGCCCAAATTCTCTACGCTCTCCGATCTCTGTCCAGCACAGCGGTGTTTTCCACGGTCTTCCGTACAAGGCATCGTATGGAGATACCCCAATGCTCGCGTGATGACTATTGTTGTATGCAAACTCGCACAACGTCAAATACCGGTCCCACGGAACTCCCCACTCCATGATACAGGCTCTGAGCATATCCTCTAGAGTCGGAGCCTATATCGTCCGTTCTGACTGACCATCTGTCTGAGGATGATATGTCGTGCTCATCTTCAGCTTCGTTCCCAGTGCCTCCTGTATCGCCTTCCACAGGCGTGACGTGAATCGAGCGTCCCTATCCGATATGATCTCGTTTGGGACTCCGTGCAGGCGTTCGATCTCATCGATGTAAATCTGCGCCAACCAGTCAATTGCATACTCCTGGCGGATGGGAATAAAATGGGCAGATTTGGTTAGTCGATCCACGACAACCCAAATAGCGTTCTTCTTGTTTGGCGTTAGCGGCAATCCGACCACGAAATCCATGGCGATCGAATCCCACTTCCACTCTGGTATCTCCAGTGGTTGTAGCTTACCTCCCGGCATCTGTCGCTCCGCCTTCACTTGCTGGCAAGTGAGGCATCTCGCTACATAATCCACCACATCTCTCTTGATCCTTGACCAAGTATACCACTGGCGTAGGCCCTGATACATCTTACTCGCTCCCGGATGTATCGTCAACCTCGCCTGATGTGCCTCTGATAGAATTTCTCGCCTTAACTCCTGATCATCCGGCACACACAGCCGGTTTCCCAGTCTTAGCACCCCCTGATCGTCAATGCGATAGCCCTTGAGGCTATATTCCTCTATATGGTCCAAAAACTTGATAACGCAAATCTAGGTGTATAAATAAGCTCAAGTAATAAAAATCTAGATACAGCGAATACCGCAAGGATACGGATCAACTGTAGTACCAAGGTCGAACACAGGGAATAGTTAACACTAAGAACAAGACTCGACTAAGATTCAGATCAGCAAATAGTAGATAAAATAGATGAATACCGAAGATAAAGCAACAAATAAACTAAGTAAATCAGATAACTAAACTACCGTAGCTTCGGGATAACCTTAACGCGCAGGGATTGTTTCTAAGGATGGAGAATCTACGAATATCGAACTCTAATCGGGGATCTCAAGTTCTAATATCAGATTTGGCTCTCTCAAGTCCTAAATCCACTATCCAATAATTTAACCTATCGATCTCTCAACCTAATAGATTAAAATATCAAACGCATTAACTATCACTATCACAGTTCCTAAACCGATTAACCTATCTCTCAATAGTATTAATCAATTCATTCAATGAATTCTTTCCGAATTTAATTCCAACACTCGTTGTAAATCAGAATTTAAGATCAATCAATCAACAGGACAAGAAGATCAAAAGCAATAAACTCAATTCAATTAAACCGCCGAGTATCGATAACGTAGTCTCGGAAAATAAAAACCAAACAAATCCCTACAAGGTTAAATCCCTAGCTACAGTGAAACGACTACTCACTACCCATAACAACAAACGAGTTCAAATCAATAAGAAGAAACATAGAAACAGATAAAGAAGACTCGCAGCGTTCTCTCGACGACGATTCTTCAATCTCTGCTCTCGGGAAACTCCGTCTTGATTCTCTCTCGAGTTCTCTGGTTTCTACTGTGATCTCTCGATGATTTTATGAAGTCTAAGACGTCATCTCTTTATTGGCTTGGTGGCTCGGTTTCTTCCTTTGCTGAAAACGGAAGTCCGGATGCAAAATAGGAAGTTTTCCCGTAATGCAACATGGCCGTGTCGAATGCAACACGATCCGTGTCAATTCTCTGTTAAAAATCTGCACTTTAGATATGGGCTAAACACGGGCGAGTTTGAATAAACACGGCCGTGTCGAATGACAACACGGTCCGTGTCAATTCTCTGAGCAAAACTTCACTTTTTTCAGCACGGACACAACACGGTCGTGTCGTATGCAACACGGTCCGTGTCGATTCTTCAACTCGAACATGCTTGACAGATTTGCTCATAACTTTCTGCTCCAATGTTGGATTTGTGCGATCTTGGTGTCTATGTGTAGATATTGCAGAGAGCTTTCCAATGAGGTAGAGAACGCACAATTTGGACTTGTAAAATGGAAGTTATTGGACTTGCAAAATCTGACTTTTTAGGCTTCATGTTTTTCTCCGGAAGAACTCCAAATGTTCCCGTTTCGTCTGTGATATTCCGTAGTCCATGTTTTCCACTCCTTTTGTTCTCTTTTATACATAAATACCTGTTTTGACACCAAAGAAAGCAACCAAACAATATCGAGACCAAATGTGCTCTAGAATGCCTATAAATATGCAAAACCGAGTAAAATGCACTAGACGTCTTATACCAAAATATCACCAAAATAAATGTTATCAATGGTCCACGTATCGAGAGAGTAAGGGGTCATCACACTGCCCCATGACTGCCCGCTCTATCAAAGTTGGTGTAGACTCCTTGGGTGTCAAGGACAGATGTCCCAACATCGCAGCCAACTCAGCAGCATTGCTGCGCGACGAGGTGACCACACGTATTGCTGCTAATATTTTTTTCCTGCTAAGGGCGTCGGCCACCACGTTAGCCTTTCCCGGATGGTAGGCTATCTCTAGATCGTAATCCGCAATCAATTCTAACCATCTCCGCTGTCTCAGATTCATATCCTTCTGAGATATCACGTAAGTTAAGCTGTTGTGATTCGTGTTGAGCTTAACCTTCTCTCCGTATAGGTACGATCTCCAAATCTTCAGTGCATGAACTACTGCTGCAAGCTCCATGTCATGTATTGGGTAGTTTTCCTCATGTTTCTTCAACTGCCTCGACGCGTAAGCGATCACATGTCCTTCCTACATCAACACACAACCGAGCCCATGCTTGGATGCGTCGGTGTACACCTCATAAAGAATGTTCGGCCGTGGTAACGCTAGGGTCGGTGCTGATGTCAATTTCCACTTTAGCTCTCTAAAGCTCTCTTCGCAGTCAGTCGTCCAGTCAAACCTAACGTTCTTCCCAGTTAGCTTCGTCAAAGGCCGAGCTACCTTGGCGAACCCCTCGACAAACTGGCGATAATAGCCAGCAAGTCCCAAGAAACTCCTGACTTCCGTTGCTGAGGTCGGGGATTGCCACCCCAAGACCACCTCAATCTTGGCTGGATCCACCTGAATACCCTGGGCCGACAGTGTCGGCCGATAAATACCCGAACCAAACCGAACCGAATAAAATTAAATAACCGTTTGGTTATGATTTTTTAAAACTCCAAAATAATCAAACCCAAACCGAACCGAACCGATTAAAAATTATTAACCGTTTGGTTATACATTTTTATAAACCAAATTAACCGAACCCGAACCGAACCGAAACGAAATATTTATATATCTTCATTTATATATATTTATATACATATATGAATACAGGTGTCGATCGTGCCGCAGAAGCACGAGCCGAGGCCGAATTGCGGGGAGAGAGGGTGTTGGCACACGCATTGCACCTCTGCCGTCGATCTCGCCCTCGCCACTCTCGAAAAAAAAAGATCTTTATTTATTTAATAGTTTTATATCAAAATATAAATTTAGATATTATTATTTTATATGTTAAAATAATTATGATAATATTTAATATTATATTTTATTTGAATATTTTTAATTATAAATGAATTGATTTTTTAAATATTATAACCGAACCGAAACCGAAT